CAGGATTGTTAGCACTGAGGTATGAAAGATGTGAAGTGATGATGATACTGAGGGGTGAGAGGGCGACACATGCATACAAACATAAATGCACCCATGCCCGAGGCGGGTCTCGAACCCGCGATCTTCCGGTCCGAGACAGCTATGGCGCTACTGCCCTGCAATCTCGGCCATCTGTTCGGCTTTTCATTTTTTAAATTTTTAATTGTAGTTTTATTATTTTATTAGTTTTTTAATTTTATTTTTTTTTACTTTACAAAACTTTTGGGCAATATTTTCCATTGCAACATTAACATATAATGTTCATAGTCATCTAAAAAAAGGACCTGAATGTTTGTTTTAAAAGAGTAAGAAGATATTCTGTTTGTTTTATCGACTGAAATGAATGTTACCCTTTAGTATACGAAGTGATCTTCATTTTTTCTTATGTCTTCTGGCTCTTGTTCAGTATGTTGAAATGTTGCTTCTTTATCCTCTTCCTCTCACGCTGCAATATCTTTTTAGGAAAAAGTTTATACCTGGCTTGATTTGACAGATTGGCATAATTACTTAATTACAAGCAATATACTTACGACAAATATAATTTTGTTAATGTAAGTTATTTGAATGTGAGCAGAATATATTTTTCGGCTTCAATTCAATGTTTTGTTAATGTTTGGTTTCAATACCTTTTTTGCAACACTTAGAATAACATTCTAGGTTGCTATGTGTTTACTACAGTGTCTGAGATGAGATCATGTTAAGATATGAGACTTTGTTGAAAACATTAAATTAGTCGTCTTATAGTATTGATTCACATGCAACAGTTTAAACTGCACGTATGAGTGTAAGATTTTAATGCCAGCTTTGAAGCAGTATACAAGGAACATAATTTATACTCAGCTTGTCTGATATGTTTGATAATAATAACAATAGAATACTCGAATAAAATTATATGTGCGTGATGAGTTACACTCAAAAGGGTAACTTAACATGATAATAATCATATTAATGGAGAAATATTATTACAGATTTTGTATATCATCATTCGGTTTTAAAATGACAATTAATGAGAGGGAATGCTATTGAAATAATGTTGTAAATTAATGAATGCTCATTATATACACCCCTATGGAATTCATTAAGAATTACAGATTATTATCACATTCACAAATTCTATTAACTTCAAGACATTTTTTATTGCTGTTTTTTGACGAGATTGTGATTTTTGAGATTAGTTAAGCAGTTTTCTTTTATAAGGGAGTTCTTTACAGGATCCTTTATGTTCTTAATGATTCCCAGGAGCGTCCAGAGGGTGGGGCAGCTGGAGCAACTTGCCCCAGGCTTCTACTTAAATGGGGCACTGAAAATGTAAATTTGAAAATTTAATAATAATAATAATAATAATAATAATAGTAATAATAACAATTAATAATAAGGAGGAACTTTTGTTGGAAATAAGGGTTCCCCCTGAATCTATAGCTCCAGGCCCCTTGTTTTCTCTGTCGCCTCCCCTCAATGATTCATTTACCTTTTTGATGTATTACGTTTATATAATAAAAAGAAAAAATATTGAATGAATATTAATTAAAATAATTCAATACAACTTATGACACACATACACCATACATTCACATACATACACTCTCAGACACAAATGAAATGTAATTTTTCCCGCCTACTAGTTCAGTGGCTCTTGACGCGCTCTTGTGGCACCTTAAGAAGCGCTTTGGCCGCGCATTTCATGCAACGAATTTTTCATTGCATTTTGTTAATGGAGCTAAGGGTTTAGGGGGAGGTTTCACCATAAAGAATTAGCTCTATTGGACACTGGTCCTCACCAAACCCAGGGGCAAGTGAAGCGTAAATAAATGCTAGGCGTCAAATCGTCTCAAGTAACGAATAACATACATTGAAAATAAATATACTCACCTAACTCACCTTTAACAAGTTACCATGATGGATAAATTATCACAAAGGCTTGATAAGCTGGAAGGCAATAACCTTGGCACGGTATCACGTGGGGTTAAAAGATGAAACAGAAGGACATAAGAATTGCTACATGGAACGCAAACGCCTTACAAATCAGAAAAAAAGAAATATACGTTTTTTTACATTACAAAATATAGATGTTTGTATGATCTCTAAAACCCATTCTACAGAAAATGTCTATTTTGAACTAAACGGATGTAGAGTATATCAGAGAGCACATCCAGATAACAAAGCAAGAAGTGGAAGTGCTATTCTAATAAAAAAACAATTGAACATAATGAAGAATGTGACCTAAAATTAGCTGAATTCCAACTAACTGTAGTAACAATAAAATGTGTAAACATCTGAATATGGGTGCAATCTAATGCTGCCCTTCAAGGCACAATAATAAGAGAATGGAATACAAACAATTCCTAGAACAGAGTGTGTGGGGGAGATTTATACTTGGGGAAACTATAACGCCAAACATATGGATTGGGGATCTAATTTGACCACCAAGAAAGGCAGTGAACTGAGGAAAGCAATGAGAGAGAAAAAGAAAGAGAGAGACAGAGAAAGAGAGAAAGAAAAAGAGAGAGAAAGAGAGAGAAAGAAAGAGAGAAAGAAAGAAAGAGAGAGAGAAAGAGAGAGAGAGAAAGAGGGAGAGAAAGAGAGAAAGAGGGAGAGAAAGAAAGAGAGAGAGAAAGAGAGAGAAAGAGAGTGAGAAAGAGAGAGAGAAAGAGAGAGAAAGAGAGAGAAAATGAGATAGAAAGAGAGAGAAGAAGAGAGAAAGAGAGAGAAAGAGAGAGAGAAAGAGAGAGAAAGAGAGAGAAAATGAGATAGAAAGAGAGAGAAAGAGAGGGAGTGTGTGTGGATGCACTTTTCGTTGTACAGGCAAACCTACGTATTAGTCTTTCGACCAGAATAAAACTCCTGATCATTTAGACATCTTTTTATCAAGGAAAGTGTCCCCAAACTTTATTGATATTGAAGGAAATTTCAGGATTGAAAATTGACGGATCTGAGCTCTGACCACTCCGCTGTGATTCTCACATCTAGTGACAGAGTATTTTAGAAAAGTGAAAGACCAGTATTAATAAACGAGACAACTGACTGAGAGAGCTTCAAAATTGAACTGGAAAATAATATTAATCTTGGAACTGATTTAAAGTCTATACAACAGTTGGAAATGGAATCTGAGAGATATATCTGTGCAATCCAAGAAGCGGCATGGAATAACACGAAACAAATTGCCTTGTAGGAAACAACTACCCAATGGAAATCAAGAAGGTGATTAAAGAAAAAAGACGTCCTAGAAGGAGATGGCAACACACTCGTGATCAACATGATAAACTGATACTTAATAACAAAACTAAAATTCTTAAAAAAGAGAGAAATTGAAAGATATGTCACTAACTTCCCTATGTGGAAAATTCGACTGCAGATAAAAATCTGACTATTCGCTATGGAAAGCAACCAAAAGACTTAAAAGGCCAATCACCCAAATTCCACCCATTCAAAAAATAAATGGTTCCTGGGCACGAGACAGCAAACTAAGGCAGACACCTTCTCAAATTACCTTTTAGGCATCTTTCAGCTGAATGATATACATTCTGATGTGGACCCTGAAGAAAATAGAAATAGTGAATTTGAAGAAATCGAATTTGTTACTAAAATAATTAGTTAATGATATAAGAACGAATATTAATGCCAAAAAGGCTCCTGATTTTGATCTTATCACGGGCGAAATTCTGAAACAGTTATCAAATAAGGGGATAGTAATGTTAATGTATATAAGCAATGCAGTCTTTAGACTAAAACATGTTCCAAGTATATGGAAGGTTGCTGAAATCATCATGATCTTCAAACCAGGAACATTTCCCAATGAAGTAGCACCTTATAAGCCAATATCCTTACTGCCCATTCTTTCCAAAGTCTTAGAGAATTTGCTGTTAAAAAGGTTAAAACTAATAATACAAAGAAAAAAAATATCCCCAATCAACAGTTCGGCTTCAGACAGACACATTCTACAATAGACAAAGTCCGTAGAATAATCAAAACAATAGAGAAAATATTAGAAAACAAACAAACTGATCTGTTCAGCTATCTTCCTTGATGTGACCCAGGCGTTCGATAAGGTCTGGCATCAGGGGTTGATTTTTAAACTAAAAAGCAATAACCCGTACAGTATGTAACACTGTTAAAATCTTACATATCTCAGACACTATTCTGGGTCAGAGTGGAAGAACAATACTCAGAACTATAAAAGATAAGAGCAGGCGTGCCATAGGGAAGCATTCTTACAGTAAGTATCTAGGATAGTAAGTAAAACACTAAGTGTCTAGGATGCTCCATTTCTTATGGAAAAGAAGTAGACCTGGACATAAAATTAAACCATTTCTGAAACATATGTGAAACAATTCATAGAAATTTGAGAAACAAAACACGAAAAGATACTAGAGTAAAGTTTTTAAATACTGTGGCTGTGCCCATTTTAACATAAGGAAATGAAGCTAGAGTAATGACAAACAGAGATAAAACAAAAGTTCAGGCAGCAGAAATGAAATTTATTCGAAGCACATTAGGATATACAAGTTTAGATAAAAAAGAAATAATGATCTAAGAGGAGATCTCGGGATAGAACCAGTACTCGACAAGCTGGACAAAAATAACAAGAAATGGTGCGAACATCTAAGAAGAATGCCAAGCAGCCGACTTCCAGCTTTGGCAATGCAATGTCGACCAAAAGGAAAACGTGACGATGGAAGACCACGTGATAAATGGACGCCAAAACAGGTTGATGAACCTAATCCTTGATTAGAAGAAGAGTACACAAATGTAATTTGACATTGTAAATTAAGTACACACCACACTATTGAGTGAAGTAATATGAGTGTAACTGAGTACTATTGAGTGTAAATAATATTTGAGCTTAGATTTAAGAATATTTTGTTTATTTTTTTTAAACGTTCTATGTGGCGAGTAAAAGGGAGAAAACAACTTTTGTAAGCAAAATACTATATATAAATATAAATTGAAAAATAATGGAGATTTAATATAATTGTAATATATTTCATTGCAATCAGAATTTTACAATAATTAATGGAATTAGTTTCTGCTTGACATCAGTAAAACATAACTTACACATATTTAGATTCTAAACAGAGTATCCACATATATGGTTATGGTACGCACTGCCAAATGTGTCATTTGCATTCCACAAATTGTCTAAACTCTTCTCGGAAATTTCAGCCCCGAAACTGGTGCAAGAAAAATTTATGCATGATTGAGCATACGGAGCACTTTCTTGGTCTGTATTGTATACGTTCCAGCACTATTCACTTGAAATCCTTTCGTCGTACAAAATGTCTGCACACATGTTGACAAACCCTCTTTTTAGGGTTCCAAGCACCAACACAATTGAACCAGTAGAAAATTTGGATGACTCAAAATCCACTTCGAGGAGGGCTCTATTTTCGCATCACTCTTCCTCTCCCCTTATCTGTGTTCCAATATCAATCGTCCGTGCTCCGAGAGTCGAACACTGGGGGATTCAATGGTCTTCACCCAGGCTGTTGAGGGCGGCAGAGGGAGGAGGGTAATACCTAGAGGCGAAATAAGGCGGCGGAGGGGAAAATGGTGACGAAAACGTAGCAGCGGATGACCTTGAGCTGTCCAAATAGTTCGTGGGTATAAAGCAGATCCGTATTGCACCTCGAAGCACACACGAGAGGTGCCTGCTCTGGCCTCGCGTGCTTTCTCACCGCAGGACGGGGGCCTCAATGCTGCCGCGTGCGTGCGTCCCTGGGGTCGAGTAGTGCGCCCCGCGTCCGCCGCGCGCGCCCTCATCGCCCTCCGCGCCGCCGCCGCAGCACCAGGCCGAAGTACAGGGCGACGACTGCCAGCGACGCGGCCATATTCATCCACGCCAGCGCCGCGAACACCTTGGTGTACACGGGTCCTGCAACCAGTCACACCCACGGATTAGCACCACATTCAATCTTTTGGAAAAAAAATCGAACTTTGCGAATCTAATTTCACTTTTTTCAGAGAAAATGCAACTTTTTCGAAATGCAACCAAATTTACTCTTTTAGATTATTTATTTATTTACTTATTTTGTACGGTATTTTTTAACTCCTCGCATTTCGTTCGGTCAAGGGTTTCTTAAAAAAATGTTGAAATGTTGAGGCTGAGTGAAAAAATGTGAATATCTACAATTCACAACAAATAACAGATAGGTTGTTGTTCGTAGTTCAGGCGGTACTTCTCGTGGGCGTAAACATAGTACATTGTGTCGCCGACATATTTATATTACTGAAATGGTTATTAGTTCCATACGTTTGTGTGTGCATGAGGGCGCGCGCGCGTGTGTGCGTGCGTGTGTGTGTGTGCGTGAGTGCGCTGTGTAGCGCCATGGAGCCACATTATGCAAGGCATGAATGTTCCTGAGTGACAATGACTTTCAGAGAAAAATATTAGAAGAATGAATGGAAACTTCTCAATCTCCATTATTCAATATAAGTTGCAATGTTGTAATATTATGAATTGTGATGGTATAACAATAGTACAAATAATTCGATAAAGAATGCGTTGTTTATTTGTTTGAAAAAAGTCAGTATCAAAATGATGCAATTATCAACACTTCACAACAAATAATTCACATATAATGCAAGTTAGTTATTTTATAAGACATTGCCAGACGGTTCATACACTTTAATTAAGTGATTTAATTAGAATTGTGCATTTTAAGACAAGTTGACAAAGTTCTGAATAATTAGAGAATCTATTGTCAGGAACGAAATTTGTGTACCTATATAACACGTTTCAGCAATATGACTCATAACAGTTACATTAAGACTGAAAAGGAAATGCTAAACCTTTTAATTAAAATCAGACTAATGACTTTTCTTTATGTGAGCAAATTATTTTAAGAAAACTTTTGGAGATAACAAATGTTAATAACGTGTTAGTGGCTTTATATAAAGTACTACCAAAAATGAAAAGATCCAATCTAAGTCAAATGTGCAATCTTGAGTCGGGCCATGGGAACCTGTTTTGAGAAAATTCTAGACATTTTGAGCACAAAAACATTTCGGTATAAGAATGCCGAAAATACAGATCTCCGTAAACACTCCGACATTAAATATTTGCAACATTACGTAACTTTCTTTTTACTCGTTATATTAGTTCAAAATATATTCTATATTCTCTACTTCAGGGATGTTCAACTGCGAGACACGGAGCCATGCTGCTCGCTTTGCCCCCCCCCCCTACGTGCCCTTCCCCATTCACTAGACTACTACAGCCGATCGCGCCCAGCGCCATCCTCTTCCACTCGTGTCGAGCTTACTCAACAAGGAGCCACATTGACTGACTCAAGAATAGCGGGCCGCATTGGTGCTCACGATCAGGGCCCGGCAACTCTCCATCAAAATGGGACAAAGCTAGAGGTTGCTACATAGGATGCGCTAGTGTCGCCTGATATAGCTGCTGGTAAGACTCGCAACTTTTCGCACAAAAAATTGGTCAAGAAATACGAATACACTTTGATTATGAGATTTCTGAAAAATTACAAAAGAAGTTAAATACTATTTTTGATCTTCTAAAATTTCATTATTCATAATAATACACGCTGAAAGAAAAGGTAGCGCGAACAGCGGCGCGATCTTTTGTATCAAGCGCGTGCGTTTGCGTCCTGAGAACCCACGCACGTTTTAAATACCGTTGGTAGCAGGCATCGTATTTTAGTTCGTGTAAGAAGGTGATGCAGCAGAGCGCGCCTCCGTGATGGTCCCCAGCACGTTATATGGGAGTTATAGGGCCCTGCTCACGATGCTTGCCGACCCAAGTCCTCCCAAGCCGAGTCCCACCGCTCTATTTGACGCTCCGAAAGCGGCTCTCGAAAGCGCCGAGGGCGCGACTCACCGACGCCGAGGGTGGCGAGCAGCACAAGCAGGCCGGTGAGGGCGTCGATGGGCGAGAGCGCGTGCGTGCAGTGGGTGACTCCCAGCGTGTCGAGCAGGAAGGCTCGGTTGAGCGCCTCGGCCGCCGCCAGCCCCGCGCGCGCCGCCAGCACGCTCAGCTGCAGCCAGGCCACGCTGCGCGACGCCGTCCCGCCGCTCAGCCCTGCGCAGCGCACCTCACTGCCATTAACACGCGGCCGCACGACGGTACACGCGAGGGGGGCGCATAGGCGACGGAAACAGAGGGAGATGGGGAAAATAAGGCAGTTGGGGATCAGAGGGCGTCGAGCGCACTAGAGAGCGTTGAGGGGAAATAAACTGGTTTGGGGAAACTGGCGGTGAGCAGAATACAGGGCGATGAGGAGAAAATAAAGTTGCTTAGGGAAAGGAAGGCGGCGATGAAATGAAAGCGTCCAGGGAAATATAAGGCGATGAGGGGGAAACAATGTATTTGGGGGAAAAGAGGGTGATGTGAGAAAAATTAGATAGTGCGAGAAAAAGAGAGTGGTGGCGAAAAGAGGGCGGAGACAGGAATAGAGAGCGACGAGGATAAAATTAGGAATCAATAATAACTTTTATCAATAAGGGTTTCGTTCAGATTCTCTTGATTATTCGAGAATATGCTGTGAAGGTCCCTTGTTTTCTTTTGGAGGTAACTCTACTTTCAATTCGCGCACATTTTGTTGAGCTCCCCTATTGCTAGTTGGGGTAGAAGTAACGTGCGACGGTTTTTTTTAATTTGCAGCAATACTATTCAATCAAATGGGCAATTTGTTACCCGAAGACTATACGTTTTCTATTATTCGGAAGCAAAACGTTTTAATTGTTAAACATTGCTAACCACATTTTGTCGTTACCTTTATTCAGCATTAAACTACAGTAAAACTTTGGGGGAGTGAATGTTGAGTTCAAAAAAACGTGCGCATATTCTAATTCTCACGCATAAGTCCCATAAGGTTTTCCTGCTTTGTGGAGACAAATAAACAGAAGGCAATGTCAGCTGCACTCACCGACGAAGCCGATGGCGGACCAGATTGCGGCGAGCGCCAGCACGCGCGCCTTGACCCTCACGTCCAGCGGTCGCAGCCAAGGCCACGCCCACGCCAGCGCCATGTCAGACACGCCGCCCATCGCCACCACGCCCAGCGCCTGCAGCACGCGCACGCCAGGCATCACCGTGACTCCACTCACGCATTGCATTAAGTTTCCGGGCGCGCTAATGTCTCGCACTAACATCGTCAAACCTTATTTCTGAACGTCGTCACTCTACTCTTGCATTACATTGGGTTTCCGCGCGCGCCAACTTCTCGTACTAACATTGTCAAACGTTATTTCTTACCGCCGTCACTCCACTCAAGCATTTTATTGTGTTTCCGCGCGCGCTAACTTCTCGTACTAATCGTCAAACGTTATTTCTTAACGCCGTCACTCCACTCAACATTCATTTGGTTTCCGCGCGCGCTAATTTCTCGTACTAACGTTGGCAAACGTTATTTCTTATCGCTGTCACTCCACTCAAGCATTTTATTGGGTTTCCGCGCGCACTAACTTCTCGTACTAACATCGTCAAACGTTATTTCTTACCGCCGTCACTCCATTCATGCATTATATTGAGTTTCCGGGCGCGTTAACTTTTCATTCTAACATCGCCAAACGTTATTTCTTAACGTATTGACACTGAAGTGCCTCTTACCGGGACGTCCTCCGTTCGAGTCCCGACGGTGGCAGGATTTTCGATCTTAGACAAATAGCTAGGTCAAGTTCTGCCGCTGACTGGAGGAGAATTCTGGTGGCCATTCTTAATGAGTTATTCCTGTTTCGTAATACAGGGTGCTGTGTGAAATGACAAGACCTACAGTACAATACTACCATCTAGACACGAACTAGGATATTGTCAGTTAATCAATTTTGGAAGCCATCCATGAGACACGAAACATGAAGTCGCTAAATTCCATAAATATATTTCTGTAACTAAAATAATGTAAACTTTCTAGTTAATTTGGGAAGGTGAAGACGTTTATCTCTTTTGGATATAGAAGCACTTAGACTTTTATCCAATATTAATGATTCCCAATTGATCTGGGCAAACTCAAGCCCCTGCAAATTTGAATCGAATATTTCGATTTTTGGGAGCTTTAATATAAAAGTAAGTCTTAATAACATTTACATTTTCTCAAACATTTTTGGATTAAATTTATTATTCGGACATCACAAAGGAAGCTTACAAATGACGCATGAATCCTTTTCGTTAAACTGTCTGAATTATCGAAAGTTGGAAGAGTTGACCATTTTTTGACGTCTTCCTATAACTACAAAATTGAAGATAGATATTTTTTCATTAATATAATCTGTTCTTTAAACACATCTTTAAAAACGGTCATGCACAACTTTACGGAAATATGAGAATTGTTTGCGTACTTTACGTAAAATGTATATTTTTTCGAAACGGTTCCATTTTTTCCGTTAATTTTGTCTCCTACGATAGAGAAAAAATACATTTAAAACAACTTTTTTATTGAACTCTGTATTTTCGAAAATTGCAAAAGTTACAAATAATGTGAGACAGAATAAGTGCTCTTGTAGGCTACAAGTTACTGAAACAACACCCCGTGGAGAGGCGTAGAAGGGTGGGTGTCTGAACTCAGATCATGTAAGAATTTAATGGTCAAATAGACTAATAAATTAAGCTTCTATACTTCATTATTTTGTTAATAGTACATCAAGGTCGTAAAGTTTAATATCAATTTGAACTCTCCAGTAACATTCCATAGCATTCCATAGCATAGGATCAATCATCACCGTCAAATATAATATATATTAACACACCCGGCAATGTTATAAGTAATACAAATGTAACATTTCGTGATATGCCCAACATGTTTGCGATCACCACAAAAAACTCACGATTTATGCGAAAATGTATATTATTGCGATACAAAACAAATTAATTCTATTGCTTTGACATATTAGTAACATATTGTTGGGTGTAGCTTGTGATGTATATATTTAAACAATATTCCAATACCGAGTTCTGATAAAAATGGATGTAAATAATTTTCCTGAACCTAAAGATACGTAAAGAAATGACTTTTGGTGACGGGGTTCTCGCGTTGACTTCCAGTGGCGACACCTTCACATCGTCAGTAAGTAAATATGATTAATGGAGAAGAGTCTCATCAGGTGGAAAGTTGTAAAATGAGGTTTATTTATCTAACGTACATTTTTCTAATTGTACTATTAATAATATTTCACGTAAAAATAATGTTCTTAAGAATCATTTGACTTGCGATGAATTGATGGTTGTTTAATTACGTTGCTAAGGATGTTAATATTCGTTACTAAGGATGTTAATACCGTTGCTAGAAGCGTTAAATATCTTAACATACAGGTAGGCAAAAGTGCACTTCACAAACCTGTTAGCGTTGCATATTAACTGGAGCTATTGACGCATGTGACCGATATAGAAGTTTTTATATTTCATTGCCACCCCAACCACATACAAACATATCTTTAACACTGCCAACCTTAAAATGTTAATATAGTATTATCAAGATCTGGAGCTATTGACGCATGTGACCGATATAGAAGTTTTTATATTTCATTGCACCCCAACAACATACACACATTTCATTAACCATGAAATGTTAATATAGTATTATTATGAAATCCTGGAGATTCTTCTTTGAGAAAGTGCCTCACCTGGATGTCGGTGAGCTGGTCGGCGCGCTCCCAGACGAGCGCGGGGCCCAGCAGCCAATAGGCCAGCGAGGAGAGGCGCGCCACCACCACCAGCACCAGCGCCGGGTAGAACATCGGCCGCAGTAGCATGCGCAGCTCGTCGCGGAACCTGCCCACGCAACCACTCGCACTCACCCACACCCAACACCGAAAGACTCGCGGAAGATGGAGTGATTCGGGGATTCCGGGCGCAGCAGCTGCTAAGGTCATTAGTTCTGGGACTGTTTTTATCGAGAGAGGTGGCGGTGATCTTCCCCCGCCGGATGGCGAGATCCGGCGCTTACCTACACGTCGGCTTGTGGGTTTTCCTCAACTAGGTATCTCCCACCAGTGGGGCACCGATTCAGCCGGGACAAGCTCTAAGCTTCCCACTGGTCCCGGCATGAAAGGTAGTGTGGTGCATGTTAATGTGTGTGTTTGTAAGATATAAGAATTTGACAAAGAAGAATAAGGTAAAATCGCACGTGATTAACGGTTGGTTTTTAGGGCAATGATCCGGAATTTGCCTGATTTTGATAAAAAAACCACGGAAAAAAATAGTTCGTGAAGAAGGCTTATTTGAATATTGAAAGAAAATTGAATACAAATGCTCTCTCACACCGAAATCTAACGATGTTCAAAAGACTCACTATTAGACAGCAATGATATCGTTAACGTACTACTAGTTGGACGAGAGAACTTTGCATTGTTTTAAAGATTTTCTACTGAAATAAATAATGTAGAATGTAAATAAATAATAAAATACTCTGATTTAAATTTAAAATACTTTTTTTATTGATCACAATGTAATTTCATGTAAATTAGCATGTGTTTATTTAAAGAAAAATGTGTTTTTGGCATTTTGGGAGGATTGTGAATCTTTTCAGGTAGCTGCCAGTTCCTGGCCACTATTTAATTTCCTTGCTTGGGGATAGGAGAAACATGGCGATCGCGACCTATTTTCATCACGTAACTAGAAAACTTCGCCTGCCGGCTACCTATCTGTGTACCCCATGTCTGGGCTTAGAATAATTACCACCCTGGGGGGTATGAGAGACATATGGCGAACATGAAGTCCCTTCAACGTAACTAGCAAACTCCGTTTGTCTGAGATTTTTCTATTTCTCTGGTACCCATCTTGATCAGGATTTTCGACCAGTTTCCCTGCTCCTTTGAGAAAATGCTGAGGGAGTCCCTTGTTTTGTTTCAGGGCAGAAATGTAACTTGATTATCTGTGCACGTCTTCTCGAATTCAGTGGGAAATATAGTTATTCAAATTATCGTTCTCCATGTCGCGGCAGGAAGTATTATTCCTCCATGAAGGACATGATGAGGGATAGAAGCACAAATATATAGTAGATTTAACTTGAAAATAGTGCATATTACATCAGAGCAAATATTTTATTCACACTTCTTGCCAAATTCCTCATTTCTTTCTGTATTCAGAATTCAACTTGAATATGGCTTAGGGTAGGGATCCCAGAATTAAGAAAACGTGCACAGAATACACCTCTCCCCGTAACACGCCACACACATTTTTAAATGGTTTCTGATGTAAAATAAATAAAAAATAAAAAGTATTTCCTTCGTCTCACAGCTACCGGATTTTCAAGAAAAGCTATAATCCAATTTTGGCCCCGACCGTGACGAATAGTAAAAATGATTAGTAACTTTTGTTTCAAAAAAAAAAAAAATCATGATTTTCTCTCTCTCTCTCCT